AAAAAAAAAAAAAAAAAAAAAAAAAAAGATGCTTACTAAATATTTGTGGTATGAATAAATGCACAAAAATATTAATACTGGTTATGTCAGCAGATGGTATTATACATGTTTTTATGCAACTCAAATTCCTATATTTTCTTCAATGCAGTTGATATACAAAAACTGTATTACCACAGGTCTTTCCTTTACAGTCAATCTAATTCTCAAACAAATTACAAAATTTCATGGCTTCAACAGGAGAGACTGAAGCAGGTGTTCAAATATTTCTTAAAGTCGTTTACTATTATAATTCTTATTATCATGTTACTGATAAGTTATTTCCTGTAAAGTTTAAACTAACTTTCATATGTTGATAGTTTCCACTTGATTCTCAGGTTCGCAACATTAAATTTTGTTACTGTATATTACATTAACATATGAAAAATTTTACATCTTTTGAATATGAACAAAATTTTCCAATTCAAATTCTATGTTTTACTAAGAATACATACTTAGTACCACAGAAACATTAAAGGTCATTTTTTATTTACCACAGATGAGTCTAAAGAACAAGTTAGTGAAATTCCTCAATAAGCCTGAAGAGCAAATAGTCCCTATTTCCAGATTTTAGGTATTTATCAAGTAACTAACCTTTAAACATACCTTACGTATTATATTGTTTCAAAATATTAAATATTATGAATTTAAGAACAGATGTTTTGGCCAGGAGTCAGCAAACTTTTTCTTTTTGCTTTGTTTTTTAAAATGTTTTAGAGATGGGGTTTTCCTATATTGCCCAGACTGGAGTGCAGTGCTACTTACAGGTACAATCATAGCGCACTGCAGCCTCCAGCTCCTGGGCTCAAGTGATCCTCTCCTCTCGCCTCAGCCTCCCAAGTAGCCAGGACTACAGGTGCACACCATCATGCCCAGCCAGCAAATTTTTTCTGTAAACATTTGGATGGCAAATATTTTAGTCTTTGAAGGCCATACAATCTCTGTCACAACCCACTCAACTCTTGTTATGATAACGGCTAAAGTTGCTACAGATAAGATGTACATGAATAAATGTGTGGCCATGTTACAGTAAAATTTTATTCATAAAAACAGGCACCAAGTCACATTAGTCCCCCCAGCCATACTTTGCTGACCCCTGTTTAGAGTATCACATTTTCCAACTCTCCCCACACAGAAGTGGTATAGGTTTTCTCTCTATAATTACCTTTTTAACAACAATCTTCATGTTTAAGCAGTATCCATTCATTCACTTATTCTACAAATTTTTACTACATGCCTACCACATGCCGAAAACAGTATTAGGCATAAGGAATAAAGAAGAAAAAAATAATATAATAATCCATGATCGATAAAAGAAAAAAAATAATATAATAATAATAATAAAGTCCTGCCTTCTTAATGCTTACATTCCAGTGGGAAAGTCAATAAATAAACAAACTAATAAGTACATAATACAATCTCAGGTAATGCTAAGTATAAAGAGACAGTAAAGCAGGGTGAAAAAAAGAATGGGGAAGGAAGGGGAGGTTCTTTATACAGGTCAGAGAAGAACTAACAGGAAATGACTTTTAGGTAGAGAATGAATGAAGCAAATGAATAACCATATGAATATCTAAAGGAAGAACATTGCAGGCACGTGGAAGAGCAACTACAAAAACTCTCTAAAGAGATTCAGAAAGCACTTAACATGTTTAAATAAAGACAAGACTGGTGTGCTGGAAATGAGAAAATGAGATCGGAAAAACAGGTAAGGGCAAGATCATGTAAGGACTTGTCAGCTATGATAAAAGGATTGAGTTTATTCTAAGGTTGATGTGAAGCCAGGAATATGAAATAGCTGAGAGCAGGGGAGTAAGAAGGTATTAATATTCTGTACTTTTTAAAAGGATCACTGGTAGCTATGTGGACAATAGACTGTAGGGAGCAGGAGTGGAACAGGAAGGTCAATTTGTAAGCTGTGTGTTTATTTCTAGACTTCTAAAATAGAATCTAAACATATTTCTAAATTCAAAATATCAAGTCAAATATTTAGACATCTTTTTGGACCAGAAATTCTTATTGTTGAGTAGCCAACTTTTGAGCATTTTCTGA